TACTTAAAATATGTATTAAGGTGGGAAATGTATTTCATAGGTCAAAATATCATGTGCTTCACCCTTATACATTGCTGTTGGGAGTGTTAAAGTTGTATAGCTGCCTTGGAAAATGTTTGGCAATACCTCAGAAAGTTAAACATACAGTTTACCACATGACCCAGCAATTCCATTCCTAGTTATTTACTCAAGAGAATTGAAGACATATGTCCACACAAAATCTTGGGCATATTATTCCTTAGCGGCATTATTCCTAATGGCCAAAAGGTGGAAGCAACCTGGATGTCCATTGACTAATGAATGGATAAACAAAATGCAGTATCTCCATACAGTGGTTATGAAAAGGAATGAAGTTCTGATACATACTACATGGATGAACCTTGAAAACATTATGCTAAGAAGCCAGTTAAAAAAGACCACATAAATTATATGATTCCATTTATATGAAAAATCCAGAATAGGCAAATCTATAGAAACAGAAAAATTAGTGGTTGCTGGGTCTGGTGGAGAGGGAATGGGGGGCGACTGCTAGTAAGTACAGAGTTTCTGTTGAGGGTGATGAAAATGTTCTGGATAGTGGAGTTTGGTTGCACAACTTTGTGAATATACTAAAAACCACTGAATTGTACACTTTAAAAAGGTGCATCAAAAAGAGAGGGGCTGGGTGTGAAGGTAGAACTCAGAGCTAACAAGGAAAAGAAAAAAAACAATTTTGAAGAATTTACTTTCTAATGGAAAATTAGTTTAAAGACTATCTGGTCAGAAACAAACTAAAAGAAAAAGATTAATGTGAGAAGACGCTTTCAACTGAACTCACTTTAAAGTCTCTATTGAAGGTTTCCCCCTCTTCATGTGAAACAAAAGCAGCTAGAGAATCTGTGATGTTTGGTCAAGAGGTGTAAGAGAATTAGAAACAAAAAAGGGACACACAAGAAGAGAGTAAATCAGTATATATCTATTGCTTAGTTTTCACTGAGGAACATATTGGTGGTATTCGTCTCTTGTGCTGGACAGAGAAAGGTAGGAGAACAAATTATAATCGCTGCAGAGGCGGGACTGGCAAGCAGGTGATGAATGTGCTGCCAGGCTCTGCTCTTGTGCCCATGTCAGATGTGGCACTACAGTTACTACTCACTTTCCTGCTCATTCCAGACACAGCTTCAGAATCCCTTGGAATCCAGGGTCCTTTTAGCGATTATTGCTTGATTAGAATTGGCACTTAAGGTTAAGCCTATTTACTAGTCTTAATATAGGTCAAAGTTATTCTGTAAAAATGTATCCATTCAATATATAAATTTTAGAGAATTTGATCAAAATGTTATCTCTAATAATTATATTAAAGCGTTAAAAGGGCCTTTTCTTCAAATGAAGTGTTACATAAAAGTTTAGCATATAAAGCAAGGGAATGCAGAGCTGTGTGAATTTAAGTGGGAAGTGTGGGCCTGGGCAGGCTCAAGTAGAAGCCAGGTAGCTTAGAGCCCCCTCTACTTTATTTCTCTCCCCCTACACACAACAACTTTTTGAAACGCTTTCTCTCAACCCAGTTTTGAGAAGATTGCCAGAGTAAAAAAGCTGGATCAAGTGGAAATAATACTTTCCGAGGAACTGGGAAGCCTAATTTTTAATTTGTTTTTAACTGTGGGAATATGGAACAGTCACTTAATCAACCATCTTTTGTCTGTAATATTCTTCAGTGAAAGAGGTGGTTTGAATTAGAGACTTCCTAGGACTCAACCTGTTGCTATTTAATATTTTGATTTAGAGAATCTAATTAGTCAAAATTTTTATTGATATCAATGGTAAAAAGGCAAAACCAATAAGAATGATCAAAAGGCTTGAACAGATACTTTACTAAAGATGATGTTCAAGTGGTCACTAAACATGTTATTAGTCATAAGGGAAATCCAAATTAAAGCCAAAATGAGATACCATTCATATCACTGGAATAGTGATGATTAAAAACACTGGCAATAACAAATGTTGGTGAGGGTTTGGAGCAACTGGACCTCTCATATTTTATTGACATGAGTGTAAAAATGATCACAATGCACTGTTCGGCAGTCTGTCTCTAACCTACCACCCAGCAATTCTACTCTTAGTTATTTACCCCAAAGAAATGAAAATATGTGTCCATAAAAGGACTTGTATAAGAATGTGCATAACAGCTTTATCCATAATAGTCAAAATTTAGAAACAACCCAAATCTTTATCAACAGGTGAGTGTGAGTGGATAAAGAAATTGTAGTATATTCATTCAATGGAATACTGTTGAACAATAAAAAGGAACAAGCTACTGATACATACACTATGAATGAATCTTAGAAATTATGTTGAGAGAAGACATAAAAAAATACTTTAAGAATACATTTTATATGAAGTCCAAGAACAGTCAAAACTAAGCTATAGTGATAGAAATCAGAACGTGGTTGCCTTCAAAGAGCGCTTGACTGGAATGGATAATGGGAACTTCTAGATTGATGGACATGTTTTATATCTTGTTTTGGGTGTTGGTTACATAGGTTTATACAGTTATTAGAACTCATTGAAATGAACACTTATTATGTATGCATTTTATTGTATGTTAATTGTACCTCAATTTAAAAAGTGTTAATTAAGACAGTTGAATAATTCTCAGTGTAAAACTTAAATTCTGAAATAGGCTCTGTATCATTCCCTTAAGAAGAGGGGGGAAGGGGAGTAATATCCCAGTCTGAGGCAGAAACAGTGCGATTGAAGAGCTAAGGATGTTCATTGGGAAGGAAAAGCAGGGGTGGGCAAGTAAGTATATGTTAGGAATTTTAATTCATTTGTTAATTTGTGAATCAGTGATGTTTTCTGATTTTTATTGTCTGTGATATATAAGTTGTATGTTAGGGGAAAACATGGTTCATCTAGGTTTATCTCACAGTTATTGTCTCAAGTTTGACATGTATTATATTTTCTAATCACCCAGATGTTTTTCTGAATATATTTAGATTATTAAATTGTAAAAAAAAATATTTTTGAAATGCTTATAAACATCTGAAGCTTTTCGTTGCCTAATCTTTGTAGTATTAGGGGGAAATTTTTTTTCTTGATTTATCCTCTGTGAATAAAGTCATCAAAGTGAACTTTTAATTTTATACTTTAATTACTTTATACTTTAATTTTATACTTTAATTACTTTATACTTTAATTAAAAATGTGAGAATAAAACAGTCCATTAGGGTATTTGTAAATTGAAGGTTTACATCAGGGGAATATCAGAAATACAAATTTTCAGACCTGATAAGCACTCTGGTAGTAGCCAGTTGTCTATCTTCTTTGTGAAATCTTCTGAAGATCTCTTTTTTATCCACATTTCATGAGTAGGCTGCATTAGATCTTGAATGGATATAAACCCAAAGTGAAAGTGATTTCTCTGAAAACTACATTTCCCCAACATACAGAAGTGTAAATAATTTAAAGATCTGTTCTTCTAAATCATGTTGTCTGTACCACACTGTTAAAATGTGAAAGAGCTAGTTATATATACATGCTTAATAAGGAATTTATTGTATTTGTGTGATAACGTTTAGAAGGAGAGAATCAGAACTATTTTTTTTTAGCAGTTATTTGAATTATCAGGAACACTAAGGTTTTTGTTTATACTCAATGCCATAACGCTTCAGGCAAAGTGGATTCTTTAAGAGAAGAAAAAAAGTTCTGTAATACCTAGAGTTATCCTACTTTTGGATATTAGAAAAGCAAATGGTGTCAAAGTCATTCCTTATCCAGTTTCAAAATACTGAAAATATTTTGAACTGTATGCCTTGAATGTATTTATGTTTTCTTGGAACAAACTGCTTTTATTGATCTTATGGTACCATTAATAAAAATAAAAAGGTTATAAAATTATTCTAATTAGAGTTTTACAGTGCTAGAAATTAAACCTATATTTAACTGATTTTTATTTTCCCCATTTTTTTTCTTAACTAGGTCCTTTCTGATGTTGCTTGAGCTTATTCTCCTGCAGTTGATCTCATTCCTGTTGGCTTAATATTAAGTCCCATGACAATACTAAGTTAATATTCATTTTTAGGCCTCATTTATAGCACTAGGAAAATATAGAAAAAACTTCACCTGTGCATTAGATGACCTAATTTCTTCTGTTCTTAGAAACACCATACCTTTTATAAATAATCACTTCATAGTCATTTTCACACCCTTGGCTTACTCTACACCAAAGAACATAGTTGAGTTTTTGGAAAGTACAGGATTTACAAATTTGGTCTTCAGTACTCACACACATCTATAAACATTATAACTAATGAAGCAGGAAATTATTCATACATAAGATGAATGTTTATTGTGGAACAGTAGTATTTCAAATGTTGGTTTCTAAAGAAATAATTTGGTTTAATTTTTGGATTTTTCCGTACTGTAAGTTGATAATGGTTTCTTGAAGTTTATTTTATAAAGATGATTCATTTTACTGTTTTATGGTACCAGTAGGATTCTAATGTTAAATTGGTTTGTGGGGTTGTATAAATGTTTACATTAGTATTTAAATAATGAAATATTAGACAGTTTTTGCAGTCCAGGGGTAAATATGTCTGCTGGTTTGATGCCTAATACAGTTTCAAAAAAGAAGCAAATATGAATTCACTGTTTTATATCTTTTCTTCTTGGACGATCCCTTAGTGTCAGTACCAAATTTAAAAGGAGTTTCCTTGTGGATAGAGCAAGAGAAATCAGAGGTTCTCTTTTTCGGTGATCATAAAGACACAAAACAATTAATAGATATCCAAGAATGCATTCTAGTAAGATCTCTGAAGCATTGTGTCACTGACTGATGAAACTATCAGGATTTACAGTGCAGTGAATGCTGAAACAGTCTTTACCAGCAATATAAGATTATCAGGATTTTGAATGTTAGAACATTATGTTAAACTGTGATTATAGTTTTAATGCTTTGTCTCTTTGAATTAAATTTGTAACCATAAAGATGTGAAGCATAATTGTTATGTATTTATTTACAGACTACAATTTCCATCGCAGCTCAATAAATAGTCTTTCCCCTGTTAGTGCTACCCTCTCTTCTGGGCCTCCCAGCCTGCTTCCTTACACTTCAAGGCCTTATTCTTATCCAAGCTATCCCTTGTCACCAACAGTATCACTTGCTAATGGCAGCCATGTTGGACATCGGCTATATATCTCCAATCAGGCCTCATTCTTCTGAAGAAAATATTATAAATAGGAGTATGAAAGTTTCCTTGTAAAACATGCAAATTAAAATACTGTTTTATTTTAGAATCGGGTTTGTACATTTGGTTTTAAAATGATAATTATTTATTTCAACATAGTAAATATCAGTCACATTCAGAATAACCTACCATTGTAAAACTTTTAAAAATGCTAAGTTTAAAAAGTTAGTGATTTCTCTTGATAAAGTTATAACAAACTGCTGTTCTTTTTAAACTTTTAGGATTTTAAATAACTTCTGATTCCGGAGTGGTCAGTAGAACGCAGAAGTTTACATTAAATTTTTTCATTATAACTTTGCTAAATAGAGTTTCTCAAGTATTAAAGCACTTGCAGACAATGGTTACACTAGATTTGATTACCAAGGATCACTATCTGTATTAGCGATTAGAACAATTATATAAACAGAAGCATCTAACTATTATGTAGAAAGAAATGAAGGGCAAAAAGATTGACGCAGATTTTATGCAGTACTAAAGAAAAAGCAATCTACCATTGTGGTCCTTGAAAATAACTATAAATATTTTAGTTAATTGTTTGTTGTAGAAATACATTATAATTTTGCTGTTAATATATTTAAGGTTTTTATAGTTACGCTCCATTTGTGTTTTTGATATTCACTGTATAGTTCTTTGAGTAATAAGTGTTATGGTTTTTAATGTTGAAATCATGTGTTAATTTTTGTACTTGAATTCAAATTCTTTGACATTAAATATACGATGCTTCTAATATGCACGTGTTTCACTTTTGTTTATTAGTATGCACAAAAGAATTAGCTCTCACAACCGCTTTGACCTTCTGAGTACAATTTCCCCTACTTGGTATACATAGGCTCAGTGTCTTCATTGGGACCAAAGCAAAAAGGATACTGCAGAAAGAAAATTAATAGTTTTGTGAAACGTAACAAAAGTCCTTTTCAGGGGCCAATAGAAATACTTTTTTCATGAACCCAGTGACGTTTCCTCCATTTTTTCTGAATAATTAATGAATCCAGGTCATTTGGACTGTTTAATAGTTTAACAGTATACATCTGTAATCAGTTTCTAATGATGGTTTGCATAATTTATAGAGACAAAATTCTTTCCTCTTAGAATACCAGACATTAACTTTGTTGATCAACTCATTGTATGGGGCATAGGGTTTTCATTAATAGATTATGAAATAGTTGCATATGTTTCTTCTACTAAAGTTTTTTCTAGCAGAAATTATCGGAGAGTAAATTAGTTTCTTTTTTCATCCTCTAAAGAAAGTTCATTCCATCTAACTATATGTAATACTTTCCAGTTTACTACCTTAGATCTTCTAATTTAAGTGAGCATAGACATTACACTTAACTAGCATTAATTTTTTTCTGACATCTGATTTTACAGTTTTAACTCCCGTGACTCACAGGTTCATATCACTCCTTCAGCAAACATAACGAGTATTTATTTCGTTAGCTACTGTGGAAATACCCTTGGGATGCAGAGGTGACTCAGATTGCAAACCAGAAGATAAACAGACAATTTAGTTTTTCATAGAAACATTTGGAATGGCCCAAATAATAATAATTACAAGTTCACACATAACTTTTTCACTTAAAATATTACACAGTTGACCCTTGAACAATATGGGTTTGAACTGCACAGGTCCACTTCTACATGGATTATTTTTTCAATAAATACGTACTGCAGTAGTACACCGTCCATGGTTGGTTGCATCAGCCAGTATGGAACCATGGGTGCTGGAGGGTGGGCACCCCCAATGCCTGCATTCTTCAAGGGTCAGTTGTATATCACAAACAATTCAGAGCTTACTGACCACATAGTGTATTTGGAGGTCCATAGTTACATGGTGGGAAACGTATAAGCTTTGGCATCAGGTTTGATTACCACTTCTGCCAAGTAACAGGTCTTTGAACTTGTACACATTTTTTAATCTCTCTGAGCCATACTTTCAAATCATGTATAATCATGATATAAATAAAGCTTATAATGTTAAAGGTAAAACGCTAAGTAGAAGGCACTCAAATGGTAGACTATATTATTTAGGTATAATTATATGAAGAATATAGTAATTTGTACTGGTTTTTCATTCTGCCTCCTTCAACCAGAAATATATAAATCAGTGCATTCATATCAAGCACTGTCTCTTTCTATGATGTTATGGTTGAGCAGTTTTGTTCATACTGCATATGAAATTTCGTTTGACTTGTGAACATAGCTACTAATTATTTGCTGCATTAATTTTTGTAGCACAGGCTCTATAATAAGCTATCGACCACAAGCCATTATTGGTAAGTTTCTTAGCTATATCATGTAGCTCATTGGGCAGGGAAACACTTCTAAAGACAGCCCTTTATCAAATTCTTTGTACAATTTTGTGCCAGGGGTTGTGGCTGAGATGTTCTACTAAGTAGCCATGATCCCTTGGCTTGCATAAAATCCCTTGTAAGCAGAAAGGTTATGCAGAAGGTTTAACCTTATCTCTCTTCTCTAGTTTTTCTTTTACAATATTGGAGTGGGAAAGTTTTCCCTAACTATGACTCAAAATCTGGAGGCCATAATAGAAAAATTTGGTAAGTCCAATTTAAAAAGGAAAGCCTGTGTGGCAAGAAAGTGCCGTGGGTCATGTCAAAAGACAAATGATGAACTTGAACAATAATGGAGAATTGTTTCACAAAGGGCTAATCTCTAGTAATAAAAAGATCATCCACTCAAGAGGAAAATGGACAAAACGTATGAAGGCAGATGACGGATGGCCCTTAAATGTATGAAAAGGTGCTTTATCTCACTCATAAGAAAAATGCAAACTAAAAATTCAGATTTGCAGAAATTCAAAAGGTTGTTAAACCTTTGGAGGGGAGGCATTGAAGGAAATGAGCATTCTCATACATTGCTGGTGGGATTATAAACTGGTGTAGAGAACAATTTGGCAGCTATCATCCAAAATTACAAATACTTAAATCTTTTGATCCAGCAGTCCTACTTTTGGGATATACTTGCATATGTGTACGAAATGGTATGTGTAAAACACTATTCATTGAAATAGTTTGTAACCTAAATACATCATTAGGGGACTGATTAAATAATAAATTTATTGGTGCACAATAAAAGGTTGTACAAAAGAATAAGAATACTCTTTATTCCTAATATAGAACGAGAGATGTGAAAAAGAGCAAGGTTCCGAAATATGTGTGTAAGATCCTATGATGTATTTTGGGTAAAGAGGGAGAAAACATTTGTATGTGCTTATATTTGGGCACCAAACTGTGGAAGGATTACAAAAAACTAAATGATTATGAGGAAAGCATGCGAGATCACACTTTAAAAGTTTCCTTTACTTCAGACACAGTTCTATGATAAATCAGTCTATCTATCTATCTGCCTATTTATCTATCCATCTGTATTTTATCTAAATTTCTTTTAGGTAAAAAGACATATAACTGTTCTCAGAAACAAAATGAAGATCTTTAGTGAACCATATCCAAACAAAAGCACATTAGGAAAAACTACACTGATGTATTTACTGAGTGACCAAAAGTTAATGGGTTTTGAGTAGGGATCTAGGGCAAAATAAACACATGTGGTAAATGCAGCAATGCAATCAGCTATTCACTTCACCAATTTTGACTCAATGGGTTCAACGTACTTCAAATATGTCACTAATTATTATGTGTGTGTGAAGCATGTATAATCTCTGATAGTAAAAACAATGAAGACCTCTAAGACTTGAAACAAAGTTGTGTTATCTTAGGCAAATAATTCTTCTTCTGAAAAACAAGTCTTAGCTCATGATTTGGCTTAATAGAGACTGACCCGCATGAATTGGGTGTTACTTTATCACCACGTACAAGTCCAGCAGCACCACCATCAAGTGGAAATGGCATATCACAGTCTAAAGAACTTTGTGCTATACTGCCGTTCTTTGCTCTTTTGTATTATGGGGGATTCCTGAAGTCATTTGGCTAAGGGGAAAAATTTTGGAAGTAATAATCTCTTTACATATCCTCTGTAAACTATACAGAACAACAAAAAGCAAATAAAGCCACACATGATCCACACCTTTCGCACAACTAGAGAACACTACAATTTGCAAACTACCCATAAGTAAAAATAAGTATGGATAACAAATTCCAGAAGTATTTTATATTATTATTGAGATGTATTTCACATATAACACTATATTAGTTTCAGGTATATAACACAATGATTCAATATTTGTATATATAAATAAATCTTAACATCCATCACCACACATACTTACAAGTTTTTCTTGTAATGAGAACTTTTAAGATCTATTAGCAATTTTCAATGTACAATACAGTATTACTAGCTATAGTCACCATGCTGTACATTACATCTCATGACTTATTTTTTCCTTTTTTAAATTTTTTATTTTTTACATCTTTAAAGGAGTATAATTGCTTTACAGTGTTGTGTTTCTGCTGTACAACAAAGTGAGTCAGCTATATGTATACATATATCCGTGTATCCCCTCCCTCTTGAGACTCCCTCCCACCCTCCCTACCACTCTAGGTCATCACAAAGCTTTGAGCTGATCCCCCTGTGCTATGCAGCAGCTTCCCACTAGCCATCCATTTTACATTTGGTAGTGTATATATGTCAATGATCCTCTCTCACTTCGTCTCAGCTTCCCCTTCCCCACGTGTGTCCTCAAGTCCGTTCTCTGCGTCTGCGTCTTTATTTCTGTCCTGCCACTAGGTTCATCAGTACCATTGTTTTTAGATTCCACGTATATGTGTTAGCATATGGTATTTGTTTTTCTTTTTCTGTCTGACTTCACTCTGTATGACAGACTTGAGGTCCATCCACCTCACTACAAATAACTCAATTTTGTTCCTTTTTATGGCTGAAGAATATTCCATTGTATATATGTGGTACATCTTCTTTACCCATTCATCTGTCGACGGGCATTTAGGTTGCTTCCATGTCCTGGCGATTGTAAATAGTGCTGCAGTGAACATTGTGGTACATGTATCTTTTTGAATTATGGTTTTCTCAGGGTATATGCCCAGCAGTGGGATTGCTGGGTCATGTGGTAGTTCTATTTTTAGTTTTTTACGGAACCTCCATACTGTTCTCCGTAGTGGCTGTATCAATTTACATTCCCCCAACAGTGCAGGAGCGTTCCATTTTCTGCACACCCTCTTCAACATTTATTGTTTCTAGATTAATTGATGATGACCATTCTGACAGGTGTGAGGTGATACCTCATTTTGGTTTGATTTGCATTTCTCTAATGGTTAGTGATGTTGAGCATCTTTTCATGTGTTGGTTGGCAAACTGTATGTCTTCTTTGGAGAAATGTCTATTTAGGTCTTCTGCCCATTTTTGGATTGGGTTATTTGGTTTTTTTTGATATTGAGCTGAATGAACTGCTTGTAAATTTTGGAGATTAATCCTTTGTCACTTGCTTCATTTGCAAATATTTTCTCCCATTCTGAGGGTTGTCTTTTGGTCTTGTTTATGGTTTCCTTTGCTGTGCAAAAGCTTTGAAGTTTCATTAGGTCCCATTTGTTTATTTTTGTTTTTATTTCCATTTCTCTAGGAGGTGGGTCAAAAAGGATCTTGCTGTGATTTATGTCATAGAGTGTTCTGCCTATGTTTTCCTCTAAGAGTTTGATAGTGTCTGGCCTTACATTTAGGTCTTTAATCCATTTTGAGTTTATTTTTGTGTATGGTGTTAGGGAGTGTTCTAATCTCATTCTTTTACATGTAGCTGTCCAG